CAGTAATGAGCAATACATCTTGATTGCATGTTTGATGGATTTCAGATTGAAGAAGTTGGTAGAGTTCTTCTATTTCATCTTCACTGGCTTTAGTGGTTGGTGCATAAATTTGAATAATAGTGGTATTAACTGGGCTTCCCTGTAGGTGCATGGATATTACCCTATCACTTACACTTGTACCTCATGACTGATCTGGATATGTTCTTTTTGACGATGAATGCAACACCATTCCTTTTCAACTTGTCATTCCCTGCATAGTAAACCCTGTGGATATCAGATTTAAAATGGCCAATACCAGTCCATTTCAGCTCACTAATGCCTAAGATATCGATGTTGATGCCTTCCATTTCATTTTTGACAACTTCCAATTTTCCCAGATTCATATTTCGTACTTCCATGTTCCAATTTTCAATGGATGTTTATAGCTGTTTCTCTTCACTTTGAGTTGTGGCCCATCAGCAAATGAAGGTTCTGTGCGCTTTTCTCCCCCGAGCTTAACTCTATTCATGTCATCATGGTCAACTCTACCTTGAGGAGGCATTTTTTTTTTCCCAGTCGCATTCTGAGTGCCTTCCCACCTGTATCTGACAGTGTTTCTCTGCTATTCATAGAGTTTTCAGTGACTAGTGATTCGGAAGTAGTTCAGCACTCTTTCTTCCTGTCTGTCTTTGTCTGGAAGCTCATCTAAAACCTGTCCACCATGGGTGACCCTGCTGGTGACTTAAAATACCGGTGGCAGAGCCCTCAGAATCACAGCAACTCAATACACCACAGCACGACAGACAGATGAGTGGTGGCCGTCTAGTTTTATATTAATACTGTCACTTGTAAAAATTTCAATATCAATCTTGATACAATCCTGATATAACCAAGATTCAATCAAGATGCTCTCTCTTGATACTATCAATCCTGATATAATGAAGATATTCTCTCCCAAGATGGCGGCTCCAGGAACAGCTGAGTGTCTTGATCCAGAAAACAATGGATTTCTGGATTCTCCTGCAAATTCCCCAGCTGTAAACACTCCAATCCTTCGATCCTCCAAACATACCTTTATATTTGTTTCAGAATTCCAACACCATCTCGTGAGCCCTCTGGCCTGGTATTCCGTGTTGTTGACAGAGCTCCTCACTACACGTCTACCCAATCCGCCATCTTGAAGGTGCAAGGCCTGGTAATGAGGTGGTTAAGAATCTGGATGCGAACCCCACGGTCAGTAGCTTGAATCCACCAGGCCCTCCACAGGAGAGAGATGAGACTTTCTGCTCCTTGCAGTTAAAATGGCCTTGGAGTCTGGCGCATCAACCCACAGCACCACACCAGGACGCTGCTTCGAAGATCTCGCTGCTTCGAAGATCTCGCTGCTTCGAAGATCTCGCTGCTTCGAAGATCTCGCTGCTTCGAAGATCTCGCTGCTTCGAAGATCTCGCTGCTTGTCTAGAGAGGTCTGGTTAAAAGAGATGGCTATAAGATTCTTAAGATTCAATAGTGAGTAGTTGTTATCATGACTAATTGTGAAATGTAAAGGTGAAGTTTTGTAACAAAAATGGGGGAGCAGTTAATCTTACAGTCCTGAAACAAAGGATCCTAGGGCCATCAAGGGAGAAGAGCACAAGTGGAATGCAGGACCTTTTCCAGAGAAGCAGCGACACCAGAAGTGGAGGCAGAGATGGGAACATGGAGAGGGGGAGCGGCTAAGGACTTTAGATTCATGGGAAGAGAGGGACTAAGAGATGGTGGCCATGAGGCAGACTTTCAGAATGTGACCTTTGGTATAAGTTATTATATATGTCTGAATGCCTGAGTGTTTTGGGGGTTTTTTTAAGAGCCAAAGTGAATAGGGAGAAATGCTGTTAACTGATGGTCCATGGAGGGGAATGTAATCATTGTGATGAAACAAGTTGTATGATTTGTTGAATGTAAAACTGGTGATCTGCCCTGTAAACTTCCACTCAATCTACAATAAAAACTTAAAAAAAAAAAAAAAAAAATGAAGTCATATCCCTTGCTAATCTGTTTGAAAGACAAAAAAAAAAAAAAAATTGTGCTACCTTTCATGAAATTAAAATCTGCCATCTATTGCATATCTTAAGCCTAACTGCCCCAAACATACTGTCCACAATTGGTAAAAATGTGGCCATGATCCAGTAACAGGTCAACAAACACTTGGTTTTATTCAGAATTTGAAGGGTTTTGTCTTCAGTCCTGTGACACCCATTTGTGTTCAACAGTAAGACCACCTCCTCTGTCCTCACGTTCATGAATGCGCACTTGAATTTGACCTAAGGAATAACTGAGTTAGTAGTTTATGGTTTGTAGATATCTTATTGGCAAGATATACAAACCAGCCTACCTCACATTGTCATTGATTGTTGATTTACTTTGCAGGTTTTTCATTATTTTGTTACTTGCTATCAGCATGGCCTGGATCCCTGTTGGTCTAACGTTACAGGGTGGACACCTATTTGAATACATACTGTCAATGACGACTTATCTAGCACCACCTGTTGCTGCCGTCTTCCTGCTTGCTGTATTTTGCAAAAGAGTCAATGAGCAGGTGGGTGTTGACCTGGCTCAGGCTGAGGGCTCATCTTTATCTTATAGTTGCCTTTGCAAGAGTTCCCTTCAAAGGGTCTCTTGCATGTTGAAGGTCCGTCTGTTACATCACTTGCTTTCTGAGAGATGATCTTCTCTTGGGAAGAGTAGCTCTGAGCTCCTTCTTGTGCATGGAGGGACAGGAAAAAATTTATTCTTCTCCCCTTAGAATATTACCTGCTCTGACCATGCCTTAAGGAGCTCTAGTGGTGCTGTGGGTTAAACAAGGGTTGCTAGCAACGAAGTTGGCACTTGAAACCCATCTAGCTTTTCCTTGGGAGAAAGATGAGGCAGTCTGCACTTGTAAAGATTTAAAACCTCAGAAACCCAATGGGGGTATTTGTGCTCTATCCTGTAGGATTGTTATGAGTTAGAATCAAGTGAACTGCAGTGGATTTGGTGTCTTAATGGCTGTGTCCTCAGTAGGGTAGAAGAGTGAAAGATTCCCCATGACAAATATCTAACTATAGGAAATATTTTTCTGTTGCTTCTGTACACAGATATGTCCTGTCCTAAGGTTTCTTATTTACAAGGAGGATAAAGTAGTGGGCTCTTTCCCTCTACCTCACAGTGAGGTGGTAATTCTGTTGACCATCTCTTCCAGCCACACTTAAAAAGAAAAGAAAAAAAAAAAAAAAAAGCTCTCAGTTAAAGGTTCAATCATTTCATCCACAAGAAATTGAAAGCATGGTTTTCCAGAGCATTTTCATGTATTTGAACCATTGCTTAACTCTTGGTTCCCCTGGTACCCCTAGCAGGGGACCTTGCAGCAGTTTCTGGGTATAACATCTTGTGCAGTCTGCCTTTGCAGCCTTCCCCTCTTCACACACAGCCTCCTCTGCCCCAGCCACTCCAGATGACTTGCTGGGTCCAGCACCCTCTTTGACCTTTCTTCCTGTGATAGATGGTTCAATTTGTCTGGAATATCTTTTTCCTGCTCTACCTGGCTTATTCTTCCTCCCAGGCTCATCACAGGTTTGGATAACCTTAGACCAACCTGCCATTGCTCCCAGCTCCGCCACACTCTCCAGGACTGCCCATGGCACCAAGATGCAGTGAGAGAGCTGCTGACTGTCAGGGATGCCAGCACTGCTACCCTGGGCCACCTTGAGAAGGGCTGTTAGGGCCTGTTACCAAGGAAAACGCGGATTTTGTCAGGGCCTTCCACTGTTCTGATCCAAGGTGACCGACGTATTGCGTCTACCATCTCCAATCTAAAAAATGTCTCTGGCCCTCTCTCGACCTTCTCCTTCCCCAGATGGCTCTGCACACATGGCTCCTGCAAGGGAAGGGTTCCCATGGTCATTGGGCTGTGTGGGGGTTCAGCACTTTCTCCAAGATAATTGACTCTCATAGATCCACACACTGTAGCTCAGAGACAAAGGCTATCAGACCATCTCTTCCTTGATGTTTGACACCCACCTGAGCCAGGTTCCAGCTCCAGACCCCAAAGAATCCTAGTTTATACCAGGTATAAGGGGCCTCAGGCAGCTCCAGCCCAAATGGGCATTCTCAGCATTGCCCCACGTGCCATGAGAGACAAATTCAGCATGTTCTATAGGGTTTGTCCCACCCCATAATTGGCACTAGATGTAGTGGTGTTGTTGTTGTTAAGTGCCGTGGAGTCGGTTCCGACCCATAGCAACCCAGTATAGGGTTTCCGAGGAGCAGCTGGTTAGCTTGAACCCCCAACCTTGCAGTTCAAACAGCTTTGTAGTCTGGTGCATTAACCCACAGCACCACATCAGGTAGTGGCAGCCTAATCTTATAGGCTCCCAGAAGCTTCTGGTAACCACGTCTTAGCCTCATGAGGAGATCAACGAGGTTTCAGAGCAATCATGTTCAAAATTGTCTCCAGTTTATAACATCAACATAGTCAGGTAATACCGAATACCTTCTATATGCCTGTCCTCAGCTCCGTCTTACACAGTAGACTCCGTCCTTACTCTTCTGGGGTCTTGTGAGGTTTAGGCAAGAGACCAGAGACACCAGGCTGTTTGTTGTTGTTAGGTGATGTTGAGTGATTCCAACTCACAGTGAGCCTGTGTATGACAGAATGAAACCCTGCCTGATCCTGTACCATCCTCACAATTGCTACGTATGAGTCCACTGTGTTAGTCCATCTCATTGAGGGCCTTGGTCTTTTTTTTACTGTTTAGGAAGAACAATGAAAGGACAGCAAAAGATGGCAAAGTAGACAATGGTGGACACAGGAACATTAGCCAAGCAGTGGAGAAAAAACTCTCTTACAGAAAAAAAAAAAAAAAAAAATCCTGCTGTCAAATTGATGTCCACTCAGGATGACCTTATAGGACAGAACAGAATTCTAATTCTTAGGAGAGCAAACTGCCTCACTTTCCTCCATGCAGATGATGGGCTCAGACTGCCAACCTTGCAGTTAGCAGCCCAGTGCTTAACCCATGGCACCACTAGGGCTCCTTCTCCTATAGAAGCAACCTTGAAGCTGAAACTTAAAAAGGTAAGCCAGGAAAGCCAGAGGAGGGGCAAGTATGAAGGCCAAGTTGAGAAGACAGTGGATGGGTCTGAACTACAGAACTTAGCCGGAGCCTCAGGACACAGGAGAGGTGTGAAGGCAGTGAGCATTGAAAGGCTATGCTGGCATCTGCAGGAAGATGTGCTGGATTCCAGATGCATCTTGGAGGGAGAGCCAGCTGGACTTGTCAGTGTGTTGGTGGTGGGGCATGAGAAGAAAGGAACCAGGGAAGATACCTGTGGGATTCTTTTGACCTGAGTAACCAAGCAAACAGAGGTACCACGAGGGGTCTTTCTTGACACCACGGGTTCAAGTTCAGGGCATCTATTCATTACCTAACTGAAAAGTTTCCAGGTTTTTGTTTTGACCTAAGAGAGAATGCACATGGCTCTGATCCTCATTCCTCCTGAGAAGGTAGCATATTCTCACATCTGTCAGCACCCTGCATCTGCAAAGGTATTCGTCTGGAAGGAGCTTAACTTGAGGACTCAGATGTCCCGGTATCAAAATAGCCAAAGCACAAAAAGAATGAAAGATACATGGTTTACCTGAGCAGTCCAGCTATATGCAGATAGGGAGACTGTTCTGTTCAGAAAAACAGGAAGGCACATCGTAGGTTAGATACAGGGAGCTTTAAAGGAGGAAAACAGGAAACAGTAGAAAATGAACCACTGACTAATCTTAGCACAAGGAATTGTTCATAGTGGCAATTGTTCAATAGTTAACCACTAAGTGACTAACGAAAAGCTTGGTGGTTTGAATCCATTGAGTGGCTCCATGGAGAAAGACCTGGTGAACTGCTCCCATAAAGATTAAAAATAAGAAAAAATAAAATAACCTATTGCCACCTAGTCATGTCTAACTCACAGCAGCCCTGTACGACAGAGTAGAACTCCCTGATACGGTTTCCTAAGCTGTCATCTTTAAGGGAATGGACTGCCACATGTTTCTTGTGTAGAAAGGCTGGTGGGTTTGAACTAATGCACCAGTAGGGATCCTTCCATAAAGATGACAGCTCTGTCACATGGGGTCTCCATGAGTCAGAATCGACTTCCTGTACCCAGTAACAGCAGACTTCCCACGATTGATTGAGTCACACATCCCACCCTACCCTGAGACCCACAGAGATCAGGTGACTATGTGGTGGCTCACCCACCCCACTCCCAACACACACATTCATTTTACAAATCCTCAGGAGTGGTGTGGAGGTTTCAAAATAAAAAGGCACCTCAACTACTCAGGGAATTGTAGTTTTAGAAAGCAAGGGACATTACCTGAAGTTAATTTCTATGTATAAGATAGACTCTGAACTAGTGTACACTTAAAGGAGCCCTGGTGTAGGTAGTAGACTGCTAACAGTATGGTGGACAGTTCAAATCCACTAGCTGCTCTGTGGGAGAAAGAGGAGGCTGTCTGCTCCCATGCAGATTTTCTATCTTGGAAACCCTGTATCGGGTCTCACTATTAGTGGCAGTGTTCTTGGTTAGGGTTAGTGTATACTCATCGGGGAAGCTGCACAACTCCATGGTCACTCTGTGTTTGCTGTTCTCTGCTTTGTGTGTGTTTCCCAGCCATCAGCGGCCCTGGTGAGCCTCTCTGCCTGTGCCTCAGATCCTAGGTGTCTATCTCCCACAGGGCTCAAAGAGAGCATGCTCTGTCCTCACCGATCTTTCTGTGGTGACTTTCTCAGGCTCCTTCTTTGGCAGGGTGCCTTCTGGGGACTGACCGGAGGACTCCTGATCGGCCTCACTCGAATGGTGGTTGAGTTTGTCTACGGCCCCTACAACTGCGAGCAGAGTAGCAGGTGCCCGGCCCTCATCTGCGGCATTCACTTCCTCTACTTCACCATCATCCTCTTCTTGCTTAGTGTGCTCATCATCCTGGGTATCTCCTTTGCAACAGACCCCATTCCTGACAAGCACGTGAGTGCCACCTGGGCTTTATGGGGCCCAGCCACTGTTTGGAGAGCCAAGGTCCCCATTCAGTAGCCTGGAAGTACTGGCTTGTGAGGCCCTTCCCTTTGGAAAGTGAGGAGAGGTTGAGGGCAGGGATGGATAAGACTTAGCACAGAAAGAACCTCCCTCCACTTTAAGGGAAAATTTAAAAGAAAAGCTCTTCGACACTGTATCAATTTGATATTCATTTCTTTAAGAAGGTTGCCCTTTAAAATGCCAGTTTCCATGGAAGTACAGAAATCACAAACTTCAGAATGATTTAGTGTCATCAGGGCAGTCCCAGCTGCTACCTGATCAAGGAATCCAGCCAGGAGGAAGGGGCTGTCCTTAACAGGCTCTGTACAGGTTACTTCCTCAGTTGGCCTCCCAGGAGGCCCTGGGGACTACAAATGGTCAAGTGCTTGCAGCCTAGGGAAGTTCAAATCCACCCAGAGATGCCTCAGAAGAAATGGCCTGGTGGTTATCCTTAAAAAGCACCCACTGAAAGCTCTAGGGAGCACAGTTCTATTCTGCTGCATATGGAGGTCCCATAGTAGGAATCGACTCTATGGTAACTGGTTTTGGTGTGTGTGTATGTGTTTCATTAGTCACCCCATAATCTGGAGCCCAGAAAAGATACATGTGTAGCTTGTCCAAGGCAGCATCGCAGCCCCTCCATCATGTCAGAACTTCTCCAGGATAGGGACTTGGCCAGAAAGCAGCTGGCAGGAGGGAGGGTCTATGTTGGGTGTCTAAGAATCCACTGGGTCTGCTTTATGCAGAGGCTCTGAGGAGGTATGTGCTTTTCTTTCAAGCCAGTCTTGGACCCAGAAAAAAACAGAGGTGAAGGACAGGTTAGCTTGGAGGCTGCATGCCCCTGTGGCCCAAGGCCTACACAATCAGAACCCTGGCCAGCCAGGCTGGTGGTGACATACCCACTCTCCCCCAGCTCCACCGGCTTTGCTGGAGTTTACGAAACAGCCAAGAAGAGAGGGTGGACCTGGATAAGGAAACCCGCAGGAAGAGTGTTTCTCAGCCTACAACACAGCCAGGTGAGGAAGTGGTTCAGAGCTACAGGAGAGGTAGAGCCTATTTCCTGTCATCTGTCTTCTGAGGCATGACCATGTCCTGCCCTTTCATTTTCCCAAAACCTCCTGGATCATTCAGGAAAAGTGACTGTTGATACTGATCAAACCCAATGGAGCATTCTGGACTGGAAGTGCCAGAACTGGACTGGCTCTGCCAGAAGCATGCCTATGGGAACTGTCACTGTAGGTCAGTGTGTCCTCACACTATGTGAACTATCCCTGCAGTGATGGTGTGTCCTCACACCCATGGGAACTCTCCCTGCAGTGATGATGTGTCCTCACACCCAAGGGAACTCCCCCTTAAGTGATGGTGTGTCCTCACACCCATGGGAACTCTCCCTGCAGTGATAGTGTGTCCTCACACCCATGGGAATGCTCCCTGC